CCCAGCAAGAGAGGCGTGGCCACAGGACTGAAGGCGGGCATTAGAATGAAGGCCTCCAGATCCCGTCCCTCACTAGCTTCGAGATTTTGGACAAGTTAAGACACCTCCTGGAGCCCCAGTTTCTTCACCTATAAATGAGTATAGCTGTAGGATGGGCCTTGGAAGCTCGCTTGAAGTGAGGATTCAGGAACAGAGACCATGAAAGCCCTGAGCACGTGCCTGTCTGGGCCTGGCACACAGACGATGCCCCATTGACTTCATTGCTCCTCTTGGCTCAAAATGAGGGGTGAGGGTGAGGCTTAGCTGCAAAGGCTTCTGGAGTTTCCTTTATAAAGGTGGTGATTACCCCCGCCCCCCTCTACCTAGGGGAGTTGGAGATGCAAGGCAGGGTCTGTGCTTTCAGACGACAGGGAGGAGTGATGTGTGGAGGAGAGCTGGATCCGCGCGGAGGAGCATTGGGGGAGACCAGAGTCTTTGGCGCGATGCGCCCCAGGAGTCGGGAGAGCTCAAGCCGCGAGTGACAGAAAATCCAACTAGGACTTTAGACAGGGACCCCAAGCGGTGTGTTTATCTCAACGATGTCTTGGAAAAAATCCAGTGGGGGCCCTTTCTGCCGCAGACCAAATGAAATGGCAGGTTTTCAGAAACCCTCTACCAGGTGGTCCAGGGAAGCCAGGCAGCAGGTGGAGCGCGGGTGGGCCAGTGGGGCGCATTTCCCGCCGCTGCTTGTCCCTCCCTCAGGCCACCCTCCAGGGGCTCAGGTTCCCAGGGTGTCTGGCCCGTGGTCCCTTGGGCATCCTGTCCTTTCTTATCTAGTGTTTGTTTGCTCCTCTGGTTTCCTCCGGCCGTATACTATGACCCTGCACGGGAGCCTTTACCTTTCTTAGCGAGTTTATTCACTTAAAATGGGCTTAATAAGTCCCTCCCTCACAAGTGATTAGCTCTCCCCACCCCGCCCCCGTTTACTTATTTTCTCTCTTTTTAAATTTTCTACCAATTCCACACCTGATGTGCATGTTTGAAGTGTCCTCGGTCTTTTACCAAAGTGCTCTTAACTCGGAAAAGGCTGGCCTATATATGAGGGATTTTCTTCAAATATGCAGGTGGTTTGCTCCTTCTCCTCTCTTTTCCCACCCCTTCTTCCACCATCCACAGGTGATAAGCACAAATCCAGTGATTATTACTTAAAGGTCTACATGTCTAATACTCAACAAACACTGAGCTAACTGGGGTCTGAGCCAAGCTGTAACAAACCAGGTTGATGCAAATTAAAAGCAAAACTAAAAAAACAAAAAAAATTCCATGATGTATTACTTATCAATTTTATTTAAAGGCCTAAGGCAAATGATTCACTTCCAGGATGTAAGGAGGTGTCACAAACAGAGTTTGGAATGAAAAGTGCAATGGTTCTCGTCAAGGCCATGGAAGACAGGGCCATTTGATAACATCAGCCCTCATTTATACAGGACCTGATGGAAGAGGAGGCTTGTGAAAAGGGTCAGCTTCCTATGTAGGTGGCCAGGGCAGCAGAGCCAGGCCTTGTGATGCCCAGCCAGTAGGCAAAGTCTGCAGGGTCACAGCAGAGGACAGTGGTGTGCACACTCCCTAGGTCAGAAGCCTCCTCTGGGCTATTTCTGTGATGCATGGCTCCAGAGCAGGTCCAGGCAGGTGGGGAATGTGGTCTGGGGGGTTGGGGGGAGCTGCACAGAACAACCACCTCTTTGGACCCTCTGTTTAGGAGACACAGTGAGAGAACACGTGGCTGAAAGAACATGTGAACATACAGTTGGATGCGGTGGAGGGAGGCAGGGAGCAGCTGGCGCAAGAAGGTGACTTGATTCTGTAGTACCGCTTTCAACCCTGCCCAGGGCCCTGTGCTTTGGAGAGCCCTATTTTGTCCATTTCCAATGACACCCTCCTCCAAATGGTGGGGAATCTGAAGAGCCAAGGGAGTACTCATCTAGAGTAGTTGTTCTTACAGTGGGGTCCCTGACCAGACCAGCAGAATCAGCATCACCTGGGAATTTACTAAAAATGCAAAGTCTGGGCCTCACCGCAAGCCCTTGGGGCCCAAGAGAACTTACATTTTTAACAAGTTCCTGTGTGATACTGAGGATGTAGATGGAGGAACACCAGCAAATTTAGTGGTTGTGAGAGCTACTATTCCATGGTGGTACCTGAGCCACAGAGTTCTTGCCCAAATAGCCCCGAGCCCACTTCCAGGGCCTGAAGAGCTTCTCCATCAGACCTGCTCTCCTAAGAGAGTGTCACAGCACTGATATGTGCACCTGTGGCCTGGGAATTTAGGCCTGTGAGGGTGTCCCTATGCATGCAGGTGAAGCCCATCAAACCATGGAATGACACTGGCATGGGAGAAGGAGCTGGGTACAGGCCGAAGCCCCCATCCGCACTCTTTCTCAAGCTCAGGAAAGAGGAAGAATGCCCAAGGCTGCAGAATCAATTGAGCCCTCTCTCTACAGATACTTTCCTCTGCTCTGACCACTCATGCGGACTAGAGAAATGTGATTTAGCTGTGCAGATAGCCATTGATTAGTTCACATTAAAGAAAAATGCAAACAAAGGCAGACTGATTTCTCCAAGTTGCATCAAAGAAATAAATCATCCTTTGCACCTGCCTAATGTTTTCCAGCCAGTGACAAACTCTCTCAAGAATTATGTAAGCAGATGTGAGTTTTATCCTGGCAAGCCCTGAAAATGCAATTTGGACTGTGTCACATCCCCTATACCCTGGCAACTACTGGTTGCTTTTAGATTCTTATACCTAGAATATACAGAAGCATTGGGGTAATGGGGCTTATGGGCTAAATGTTTCCACTGTGGAATTAAATAGACCTAGGTTTGGATTTCAACCTCACCACTTACTAGCTCTCAGCCTTTGGTAGTTAACTTCATTTCTCCAAGTTTTGACTTTCCCATCTGTAAAATGGGAGCAATAGGGGTATTTACTTTATGGAACTGTTCTGTGCTTGTGGATAAAGTAAGGATGAAAACATATGTTAGTCCTCACAACATTTAGCTGGTGCAGCAAGTGCCTTAGGTTTGTCCCTCTCACCACATCCTTGGTTTGGGGGGAAATATGAGAGGCAGGAAAATGAAGCCTATGGCTGTAAGTCCAGGGATCTGGGTGGTGGCAGAACACTGTCAGACACAGGTTTCTTTAAAGGAGGAGAAGAAAGTGTGCTGAATTCCCACTGATTTTAATGTGACCCTGGTAAGTTTGAAGGTCTTGGCTTCCATAAATCAACCGCCTCCAGCAGCTTTTCCCTTTTCACCTCTCTAACCCTTCCCACAGCTCCCTCTCAGGTTGGGACTTGTGTGTCAGAGTGATGCCGTCAGCCCTACGGTCAGCCCAGAGTGGGGACTGGGTGTGGCTGAGGCTCCAGATCTACTGCCCTGGGGCTACATCTGGACTGGCAGTGAGGGTCTAACCTGGGACCCAGTGACACTTTTACTATTGAAATTGACCCAAGCTTTACTAGCTTCTGGGGGAAAGCTGGGGGCTTTGGGGATTTTTGTATTTGCTGGGTTGTAAATATTTTATGAGCAAGCAGCCCAGAAAAATCTGGTTAGCTTTCTGCCTCGCACATTGAAGTGGAGTTGGCTTTATAGACACATGTGTCAAAAAAAAAAAAAAAAATCCAGTTTTGTCTTCATCCCAAAGAATTCACCTTTGATTTTAAAAGTCTGTTATTTTGCCACTCCCCACATGCCCTGAATTTCTATTTCTCACCTGTAACCAAAAGATTTATCTTCAGGATTAGTTGAAAAGCAAGATTTCGGGTTGTGTGGGTGGAGGAGGGGAGAAGGTCATTGTGTATGTCTGTGGCTGAGGTTTCCTCCTTCCAGAAGTGTCTATTTCTCAAGGACTGTAGGATCTTCTCAATGGATAGATGCCTGGCACATGTGTTTCTTCATTGGACCCCCTGCAAATGAAGAAAGACTTCTGAAAACCTCATTAGTATTTTGTTTGTTTTTAAATGATGAATTTAAAAGGGAAAGAAAGAAATCACATAACTCTCTATTCTATCTACTTTGTGTTGGGTCAAATGCTTGAGCAAAACTGCCCCATGGACAGCAACTTTCCCCCTAGACCATCGACCACTGACCACCGACGGGTCTAAACTAGGACTGCACCTTTAAATAGTCTTGGGAGCTTAAAAAAAAAAAAGCTAACAACAACAGCAACAACAAAAAACCAATAAAACCCCAATACCCAGGCCTTGTTTGCAGATATTGGTTCAGTTGCCTGAAGCAAGCCCAGGCAGCCGGTAATTTTTAGGTTTTTAGATGATTATCTCAGGCAGCCAGGTTGAGAATGGCTAGTCTAGAAGTTTCTCACTTATTGACCTGCATGTCTACTAGGTCAAGCAAGGCTCTAAGTGCTGTAATGAACAAGATGGACTTGACATGCTCCTAGCTTCCACCGGCTGGTGGAGGGGGGAGGGGTGTTGCTGGGGAAAACAGACCACTAAAGAGAAATATTAATGAGGTTCATTGTAGATAGTGTTAAGTGCCAGGAAGATAATAAAACGGGGTCCTGTGATAGTGACCAAGGGAGGTTACTTTAGATCAAGGTGGTTGAGGATGGCCTCTCGGAGGAGGTGACATTTAAACTGAGACGTGAATGATGAGAACGAGCCAGCTGAGAGGAGGCCTGGGGGAAGTGCGGCCCAGGTTCGCAACCACAAAGGGCACATTAGTGGTTACTTGCAAGCTCCTGGGGGAAAACCCGGGAGGCCGCCTCGGCGGCCTCAGCAGCAGCCACCGACTTCCGCCCTGGGAGTCCCGGGCTTACGGGGAGGAGGGGCCCTGGCCTGGTGCCCCTCCCCTAGCCCGGGTGGTCGGCCCCGGGCTGGCCCAACTGGACTCCGGGCCGGCCGACCCAGCTCCCCGCCCTTTTCCTCCCGGGGGCAGCCGCAGAGCACCGGGCTGATCTCCCCCTTAAGTGAAACTGACTGTAATTATTTTTTATCTCGCAGACGATCTCTCGCACACTGCTCTCCGGAGACAGAAGTATTTGTTTGATGTGTCCACGCTCTCAGACAAAGAAGAGCTGGTGGGCGCAGAGCTGCGGCTCTTTCGCCAGGCGCCCGCAGCGCCCTGGGGGCCGCCCGCCGGGCTGCTCCACGTGCAGCTGTTCCCCTGCCTGTCACCCCTGCTGCTGGACGCGCGGACCCTGGACCTGCAGGGGGCGCCCCGGGCCGGCTGGGAAGTCTTCGACGTGTGGAAGGGCCTGCGCCACCAGCCCTGGAAACAACTGTGCTTGGAGCTGCGGGCCGCGTGGGGCGAGCCGGATGCTGGGGGAGCCGAGGCGCTCGCGCCTGGGCCCCAACAGCCGCCGCCCCCGGACCTGCGGAGTCTGGGCTTCAGCCGGAGGGTGCGGTCCCCCCAGGAACGCGCCCTGCTCGTCGTGTTCACGAGATCCCAGAGCAAGAACCTGTTCGCTGAGATGCGAGAGCAGCTGGGGTCGGCCGAGGCTGCGGGCCCCGGACTGGACGCGGAGGGGTCGTGGCCCCCGCCGTCGGGAGCCCCAGACGCAGGGCCGTGGCTGCCCTCGCCCGGACGCCGGCGGCGGCGCACAGCCTTCGCCAGCCGCCACGGCAAGCGGCACGGGAAGAAGTCGAGGCTGCGCTGCAGCAAGAAGCCCCTGCACGTGAACTTCAAAGAGCTGGGCTGGGATGACTGGATTATCGCTCCCCTGGAGTATGAGGCCTACCACTGCGAAGGCGTGTGCGACTTCCCGCTGCGCTCGCACCTGGAGCCCACCAATCACGCCATCATCCAGACGCTGATGAACTCCATGGACCCCGGCTCCACCCCGCCCAGCTGCTGCGTGCCCACCAAATTGACTCCCATCAGCATCCTGTACATCGACGCGGGCAATAACGTGGTCTACAAGCAGTACGAAGACATGGTGGTGGAGTCCTGCGGCTGCAGGTAGCGGCGCCTTTCCTGCCGCCTTGGCCCATGACCGCAGGAGGCCCGACTGCAGAGAGGCAGAAAAGAAGCTGGCCTTGGAGGCAGAGGGTGGGGGAACAGCCTGGACTTGCAGCCGGTTGGGAGAGGAGGGAGCTCAGCCTTCCCAGAACCTTTCACCTGCCAGCCCAGAGGGAGATACGGATTTTCACACCTTGCCTGGCTTCCCAGGAAAAACAAGCCAAGGAGGATTTCTTTAGTTTTCATCTTTATTATTGCAGCTTTGGATTTCCTTGTGTGTCCCACAGGTTTTGATAGGAGGTGGGAGGACGGAAGACACAGACAGATTTCTCAACTGCTTTATGGATTGGGGGAAAAAAAGTTTAAGAAGGGAAACAGTTTCGGGGGGAAGAATCACCTGTGACCACATCTTGGTTTGATTGTTTTCTACCTGTGTACAAAATGATGGGTCTTTCTGGCCATGTTGTAGCCCCTGCCTTGTGACCTCCCATGCAGAGAGTGTTAAAATAGAGGAATTGGCACCAGGAATAGGAAAGCCAAGAAAGACCTTGCCTTTGGAAGAGTGTTGAGAGAGGTGGGCCCACTTGGTCCTTTTTCACTGGTGTGATGGGCTCTGCCCTGGCCTCTCCCAGTATAGGAACTGGCAACCTGCATTGCACTCCAGGGGGCTCAGGTCACACGGCCTTTACAGTTGCTTTTTCTGGTAGGGGAAAGGGGAGCTGGTATGGATGGAATGACAGGAATGAGTCCAAATGGAGCCCCCTGAAGGATAATGAGAAACCGCAAGGCCTGCCTCTGCTGCCTGACACTGAGGTGCATTAGCCCTGGCTGGAGTAACCTAGGAAAAGCCCTCCCTGATGTCAGTTTCTAATTGATTTCTTTGAACAGGGTTTGCCAAAATTTAGACATCTGTTTGAAGGAGAAGGCCACTTCCCAGTTAAACAAAAAAATGAGTAGGGGTAAGGAACAATATAGCTAAGGTAAGAGGTACAGAGGGAAAATGACCCCCCGGAAGTAAGGGTGCAGTCAGGAGGGGAGGTGGTGGGCCCCCCAGGACAGGGAGGAGGGGCAGGCCAGGAGCAGAGAAGGGAAGGATGAAAGGGGACACGAGTCCCTGTCTCCCAAGTTTCTTTAAAATCTGTGTTTCCTCTCCTCTCTCTGACATTCCTGAAAGATTACCAGCCAGCAATAGCCCAGGGCTCCCCCAAAAGAATTGTTTCAGATTGTAATTACCAGTTAGGCAATGTTTTTAAAACTTAGTAATGAGAAACTGTGAACAGAGCAAAGTGTTACATTGAGTTAAGGGTGGGAGATGGAGAGCTGGCTTCGAGGAAGGAGGCAGGGGGGGAATTCATCTCCCAGAAAGACGCTGGAGAGAGCAGAGAGCGATCCAAATGCCTACTCTGAGATTGTCAAAAAGAAGGACTTTTCCCCAGCCTGCACCAGTATTATTCTCAAACATTGCCCATAAGTAGACCCTTTGAAAAGTTTGCTTCCTTCTCATCTTTGACCATGAAATGGTTTAAACAAGGGAACTTGTACCAACCATTAAAAAAGTTTTGTTTTTCCAAAGTGGTTTTGCTCTCTCTTGATCTAAACCTATTGCTTGTTTGGTTCAGAGAACTACAATATGTCAAAGAAAGGGTTAGAATGATAATAAATGTTAATATAAAATGCTGAGAAAAAAAAGACTTGGCCAGGAGAAATAATTTAAAATGCACATTTGCTTTGGATGCACTGTTGTTCTGTTAAAGGTTGTATATATTTGTTTATTTAAGGTGACTGAAAGTGCAAAGAGGAAATGGACAGCATGCAATTCATCTTAATGTACAAAATGTTATATGCACTCAAATGTTATAATTTCTAATATTTTTAAAGTTATATTCGAGTTGTACAAAGTTAAGCATTAATCAGATATTTCATTCTTTCTTAATGTTATCATTTTCTTAAATATTATTACAAAAATTTAAGTCTGTCTAATGGAGAGTTTTTTTTTTAACTGTCTACCTCACTATAATACAAGTATTTACAACACTAAATTTACCAGAGGTCAATTAATATTCAAAACATTTTTTACAGTATACTTTTCCTGGATGATACTCGATCTAATACTGTATTATTAAACTCATTTTCCTCCTTAATAACTCAGCCTGGTTTATATGGATCTACTTAGAAAAATGATTTTCTCAAGGAATTATTGTCAGTGGTATTTTGTTCCAGTATGGGATGGAAGGTGAAAAGACACTGGTTATTTTAAAATCATTTAGAGAATTATATTTTTTCTTCATAACTCTTCCATAACTCTCTCTGCATGACATGTTCACTCACCAAATCCCTCTCAGCTGTTAGAACAGTGTTTATAAGCCTGCACCCCATTTCAGCATCTCAAGACCCCAAACAGGAATTGGATTCTTTCTTGGTTTCTTTAATGTTGAAAAAAGAAAGCTGTGAATTACCTAGGCCAGTCAAGAAGTCGGTAATTACTATTTACACTTATGGGCTATTGGAAGAAGAAGGTATGAAATGTTTTTCTATTGGTTCACTTTCTGTAAATCAGGAAACCCATGTACAAATTGTAATTCTGAGTGCTTACTACATGTTAGAAATAATGTTGTGCATGCATAATCTCATTTAAAACCCTCAGAAACTTCATGAGATAGGTATTATAATAATTCCCATTTTATGGATGAGGAGACAGGTGCAGAGTTTAAGTACAGCCATGGTCATCCAGCCAGGGAGTAGTAGTTAAGATTTAAACCTAGTTCTTTCACATCCTAGAGCCCAAGGAGTTAACCTCTATATAATTGTGCCTGCAGATCATATATCTACGCTCTAACTGCTCCCTAAATGGCAGTGTGGGAAATTTGCAATTAGCTACAATGACTGCAGGGCAGCCAGCCGGTGGAGGAGAAGCTGCTGCAGCTGCTACCAGCATTGCCTGTGGTTTTGGAATGAATATTCGAGTTGTGGCTGCTGGGATACTTGGGTGTGGATTGCAAAACTCAGTGAGTTCTTAGCTTCAGGCTTGCCTTGAGAAACTCACAGTTTAGGTCATTGATGGGCTTCTGTAGATTCTGTTATCTACAGTTTTCTGAAACTGTCTTGGGTGTGGTTTCTGTGTTTCCATTATCAAAGTAATGGTCAACTTACAAAGGTCATGTTTCAACAGACTAGTTGTAAGTGAGCTGTTCATAACTGAGAAACATTTTCCTATGGAAATCATGTTCATTTATGTTTCCAGGTCATTTTGCAGAAGCTTTATTTATCTAAATGGAAGTTTTTTTTTTTTTTTAAAGATTTTATTTATTTATTTTTAGAGAGAGGGGAGGAGAGGGAGAAAGAGAGGGAAACATCAATGTGTGGTTGCTTCTCGGGAGCCCCCTACCAGGGACATGGCCTACAACCCAGGGATGTGCCCTGACTGGGAATCAAACTGGTGATGCTTTGGTTTGCAGGCTGGCACTCAATGCACTGAGCCACACCAGCCAGGGCCCAAATGGAAGTTTTTAACAAAGCAATTTGAGTTCTAGGTTTGGTGAACAGGTAACCCCCTTGGGAAAACAAAACAGAGGGCTTTCCTCTTCCCTGAGCGGAGGCTGTTTTTAAAACAGTTGAGGATTCTTTGCATTTTCCACCAGTCTTTGTATACCATTCACCCAGTTCCTCCAATCTTCCAGCTGTCTATCCCCAGTCTAGAGATTTCCCTTTTCTGCACAAATGCTTCCATCTCCTATAAAAAGTTATTTTCCCCTCTTCCCTCCATTAGAAATTTTATTCCTTAATTCAGATGTTAGGAGAAACACAATTTAATTGAATTACATGAAGATGTAATTATCTCTTAGCTCCTTAACCTTAGAGGCACTTGCATTTTAAGAAGAAAATCTTGGTTAACTCAGATTACTTGTGATGTGAAAAAATCTAGACAATATAGGAGAACACAGCACTCAAACTACACACAATTTTGAGTAGTACGTGAGGTAGGTATTGATGATACAAAGAGGAATGGAGACATTTGTCAATGTGATTTTTTGGTGCCCTTATGGGCCATTTTATGCATTGGAGAGACTAGCTAACTTATTTTAAGATTAATATCCAATATATTAAAGCCAAAGACTTAATAACTTAGTTTTTTCTCTAAAGCTCTTAAGTTTAATGAATGTAGTCCCCATAAAGATATTTTCTCCCTGTTTTGTTCATTGCTATATTCTGAGGATCTTTTGCACAATAGTGCCCAAAACATAGCAGACACTCAATGAATATGTTGAATACATATTTACTTATAAGTCTAGTAATTTTAATAGGCACTTCCAGGGGAACATTTGCTTCATGTCTCTTCAACTCTAGTTGAATGGACCTCCCTTAATCAATCAATTCTGATTACAAACCTAGATAATCAACTTTCTTTAAATATTGTACATTGCTTTTTATCAGTATAATGTATTGAATTTTCTTTTTAAAGCCCTTTAAATGTCTATGGAAGAAAAAAACTTTCCATATACCTAAATCATCCCAAGTAGAGCTAATAAATTAAACTTCTAAATGTGATGATGCTTAAGTTCTAAGCATTCTAATACGGTTTATACTTATGACTTAAAATCAAGTGTTTAAACTTACTCAATTATCCATTTAAATTGATATCAAAAGGCTAATTTGTTAGATACCTTAATAAACTATGTTTTCTTAAAACTTGCAAACATCTTAAGTACCAGATGTATAGATTGTCTCAATGATTTCAAAAAACTATATTTAACTTAATATAAGTGCTAGTTATTTAGTTTGATTTGCTTACTCTTTGGAATCTATTCTACAGTATCTTTGGGGATAAACACACTATTCCACTACTGAAAGATTGTAGTGTCACCAGCAAGTTAGGAGATTTCAGCAGACTCTGGCTGCAAATATACCAGAGGTGTTGGTCTAGAAAGAAGATGGACTTCCTCTGAGACATTGACCAACATGCCAACTGCCTTCAATGGTCACTTTAAAGACAGGAACCCCAATTCC